AGTCGGGACCCCTAGACATGAATGGAAAAAATTTTTCAGTTTTATTTTCGGTAACCCCAAATTCAAAGTTGGCATTTCCTACATTAAAAAATGTAACCAGGAAAGCACAGTAATATTAGCGGTACCTTCCTTTGTCACTAACTGCAGGTATTTTCATATCATATTAAGTTGTTACAGATATCTGAAAACATTATGTTCATTGCTACTTTGAAATAGTGATAATTATTTAATCTGCCATTAGATCCTGTTACAGAATATATTAATAAAGTACATATACAGCAGTATCATAAATTTGTTTAAAAATATTTTGATAACTTTCAATTTAACGGGCCTCCTTCATGGTACTATGTATTTAGTTTTATGTATTTAAAAATCATAATTCTAAGAAGGGGTCCATAGGCTTCTCCAGATAGCCAAAGAGTCTGAGGTATAGAAAAGGTGAGGACCTCTATAGTAGAGAATCTGCCCAAATTAGAATAAAAGTAGACTCCGTGAGGGGCACTTGGGTGGCTCAGTTGGTTAAGCGTTGACTTCGGCTCAGGTCATGATCCCACAGTTTGCGAGTTTGAGCCCTGCTTTGGGCTCTGTGCTGACAATTCAGAGCCTGGAGCCTGCTTCAGATTCTGTGTCTCCCCCTCTCTCTGCCCCTCTCCTTCTTGTGCTCTCTTCCTGTCTCTCAAAAATAAATAAACATTAAAAAAAAAATAAAAAGAAAGAAAGAAAACAAGGTAGACCTAGAAGAGAGGCCAAGACATCCCAGGGAGAATTGTTAACCATGAGAAAAGCGCACTCCAGAGACATTAGGTCAGCTAATAGTGTATTTAAACGCAACATTAGCATCTGGGTGGGTTGAGTGAAAATCATTAACTGGTTGAGTAAGCTGTCTGGTTGAATGAATTTCGGTAACAACGATGGGATAGTAGAGGGTGGCTAACCTACAGGGTTTGGGGAAGAGAGAAGGAGGTTGATGGCAACCAGGATGGGGGTTGGGGAGGAGGGTTGAACATATGTAAAGAAGCATATAGGCTGATTCCTTTCTCATTGTGTTCATCCTGTGCATTCACCACCATGTTGACACTTAAGGCTTTGAGCTCTCTTCTCAGGCTTGGAAATCTCAGGGAAAAGGGTTATGATTAGAGAACTTTGTTTAGTAAGAGTACTCAGTGCTGGTGGAGATCTACAGAAATGAGCATTTTTCTGGAATGCATTTTCTGAATGAGCGTTAAATACCTTTTAAATGTTCATGTTCTTTGACAGTAATTTCAATCCTAGGAAGTCAGCCCATGGAAATAATCTAAAATGTGGCTCTATGCACAAGGCTATTCATTGTAATTTCATTATAGTGAAAAACCAGAAATAATTAAGTACTCAGAACAGGAAGATGTAAAGTAAATTTGGTGCATCTGCATCGTGAGAAATTCTTTAGCCATGAAAATATTTACAAGGAGTTTTTAATATCAAAGGAAATGCTTATGACAAATGCTAAGTAGATTCAAAATTATGTAGATAAAATGTTTCAGCTATGGAAAGTGTGCAGAAAAAGGAGTGGAAGGAAATATGCCAAAGTGTTTAAAAGTGACGTCCTTTTGGGGCTCTTGGCTGGCTCAGCCAGTGGAGCATATGACTCTTGATCTTGGCGAGAGAGAGAGATTGGGGTCATGAGTTCAAGCCCCACATTGGGTGTAGAGTTTACTTAAAATCTGTTTTAAGTTTATTTATTTATTTTGAGAGAGAGAGAGAGAGCACGAGCAGAGGAGGGGCAAAGAGAGAGAGGGAGAGAGAGAATCCCAAGCAGGCTCCTCACTGTCAGCGCAGAGCCTGATGCGGGGCTCGAACTCACAAACTGCGAAATCATGACCTGAGCCTAAACCAAGAGTCAGACACTTAACCGACTGAGCCACCCAGGTGCCCCAATAAATAAATATTTTATTTATTTTATTTTATTTTAATTTATGTTTATTATTTTGAGAGAGAGAGAGAGACAGGGCATGAATGAGGGAGAGAGAGCAGAAAGAGAGGGAGACACAGAATCTGAAGCAGGCTCCAGGCTTCGAGCTGTCAGCACAGAGCCCGATGCGGGGCTTGAACCCGTGAACCGGGAGATCATGACCTGAGTCAAAGTCAATACTTAACCGACTGAGCCACCCAGGCGCCCCTGCCCCCATAAATAAATATTTTAACAAAAAAAGTGGCTTCGTCTTGGTTATGAAATTACGGGTGATTTATTTTCTGCTTTTTTACTTTTTACTAAACAAAACCACCACAGAACACGTATTACTAAAGAGAAAAAGTTCTATCACCCGAGTAATGCATCAACACTTTATTGTAAAAATTGAAAACACAGAGCCCAAAAGATACAGAAGTATAACGGGAAAAAAGTGAAGGTCTCTCATCCCTGAAGGTAACTACTGTTGTTTACCACTCACCTTCTAAATTTTTTGTATACATATGTGCACATACAAATATATTGTGTTTTCTCATTTACCTAAGTGGGATCATCCTGTATTTTTCTACAACTTACTTTTCTTTGGTACTTGTAAAATTGTCTTTGTTATCTTTCCACCTCGGTGCACTAGTGCGACTTCATTTGTCCCATGTGCTGCCGTGTGTTTCACGATGTGGATGACCACTGTTTATCCAGCAATTGATTCCCCACTGTTTGAAGCAGTGGTGCATGCCGGGAAGACCCTCCTGCCGGACTGCGAATATTTCCCTAGGACAGGATACCAGGATACAGGGGTGGAGTTGCTGGATCAAAGACCATGTGCATTTCTGATTTTGATAGCTACAGCCTGTCTGTTAAGATGATATAAACTTGTTCCCTGTAACCAAGACCCTCGAATAGCAGTGGCTTAAAACCAGACCGTTGTTTACTTCTCCACTGTTCACAGTCTTTCAGCATAAGCAGTCGAGGGCTGACATCCCGGCTCCAGTGTGGCAGGGACTCAGATGTCTTCTGTCGTCTCGCTTTGCCGTCTTCAACACATGACTGTAATCTTATGGTCTGAGATGACTGTTCCCCTCCTCTACTCACACCCACTTTCTGGGAAGTGGGGAGGGAGAGGTTTAGGGCAGAACCAAGAACATACACTGTCCCAGAACAGGGCTCTTAAACAGTGATGTACCACAGGCAGCTTTGTGCACAGCTAAGTTTCTGTTTCTAAAGGAAGAAATCTCGTAAAAGATATGCAAGACCTTTCCACTAAAAACTACAAAACATTGCTGGGTGTTCAGAGCAGCTAAAAGCAAGAGTACTCACCGCATGTGTGTTGGGCCATAGGCACTCTGCCTGTTACCTATTCATATTACTCACCTGTTTCTCTATTTGGTGGTTTTCTTATTTCTCAGTGATTTGTAGGCACCCTTTTTGATTATAGATATTAACCTTTTGTCTTTTATAGGTGTTACAAATATTTTCTTACAGTCAGTTTCTTTGTTTTTTATTAATTTTATTTTTTTTAGTTTACTCCAAATTAGTTAGCATATAACTTATAGTCAGTCTCTTAGATTTTAACTTGGTTTTTGGCACCTTTTGACATTTTGAAGTTGTATGTAATCGAGTCTGCCAGTCTTCTTGTGTCTCTGGGTTTTGTCTTGCTACTATTACTTTTATAATCAGAAAAATAAGACTATGCAGTTGATGGGGCACCGAGGTGGTTCATTGGGTTAAATGTCTGACTCTTGATTTCAACTCAGGTCACGATCTCACAGTTTATGAGAGTAAGCCCTGAATCTGGCTCTGTACTGACAGCATGGAGCCTGCTTAGGATTCTCTGTCCTTCTCTCTCTTTGCCCCTCCCACTGTCTGTCTGTCTGTCTGTCTGTCTCTCTCTCAAAATAAATAAATAAAATTTTAAAAAAGGAGAAGAAGAATATCCAGTTCAAAAAGAGACACAGGGGTGCCTGGCTGGCCTGGTTGGAAGACCATGTGACTCCTGATCTCGGGGTTGTGGGTTCGAGCCCCACATTGGGTGTAGAGATTATTTAAGAATAAATAAGTAAATAAACTTAAAAAAAAGAGGAAGAAAAACAACATGAAGCAGCAGCAACAACATGGGTAAATAAATTACAGAGAAAACCTCACATTCGCTTTTTATTCTGTTATCCTCTTTAATAGGGTGTCTCTATGGGAACTGTTAGAGGGACCTGGGCTTTGAGAACTGAATAGGATTGAGGTAGGCAGAGGGGAAAAGGAAAGGTGTTCCAAGTGAAAGGAACCAAGTAAACTAAACCACGGAGGCACAGATAAATCTGGCTGAAATGGGACTAGCTGGAGGAGGCATGTATACTGGGATAGTAGGAAATGAGCTGGACCGGTAGGTTGAGGACAGGACAGTCTTTGGAGAACAAGGAAGAAGCTAAATATAGTGATTACAAGTGAACACTCGATTAGGAGAAATATGTCAAATGCATAAGGTTATGCATTTATGAATATGAATAAATGAGGGTTTTTTTTAATAAATGTTATTTTTAAAGGAAGCAAATTAAGTATCTAACAAAAGATAAATGGTTGAGTACATTTGGGTATAGCTACATACTAACCCTGAGAATAGTCAGTTTTGAAGGCTGCATGGAAAGACACTAAAATTCTAGAGAAAGAAGATGATTAAAAAGCATAAAATCATAATTATGATTACAGCTGTTTAAAGAAATATGCGTGTGAGAAAAAGACTGAAAAGCAGTACTTGGAAATGAAGAGAGTATGTTTGGATGATGAGGGAGATTATTTTTCTCTTTTAAACATCCTGATTTGTCGGTGTCGTTCTCTGTTTATAATATTGTTCAAAGAGGCAGGTGCTAGTGGATATCGGAAAATTAGCAGAGGCTTTTCAGGGCTTTCTGAAGGTGAACTGGGGGCCGGGAGATGTGTGCTGCTCTGGAGGAGGGAGCCCGACCTTGTGGGATGTGTGTGATCCAGGAGGAAGGGACCCCGTCCCAGGGCCTGCTGGTCCCCTGGTCTGTAGTCCTGGGATGATAAAAACGTCTTTCTTGCATTCCAGGGTCTCCTGATGCTGCTACAAAACCTACCTACGATCCATTGGGGCAACGAAGAGATTGGGCTACTGCTCGCCGAGGCGTACAGACTGAAGTACATGTTTGCCGATGCCCCCAATCACTACCGCCGATAGGTGCTGTCTCCCCAGGGGGGACCCAGACTGTCCCCATCTCTGATGGCAATCTGATCACTGTGGCCACTGTGCGAGCCGTGGACTCAGGCCAGGAACCACTCCTGCTGTAAAAAGCTCACATCCGCCGCCCAGGTCTTAACTCTTTGGCGTGCCTGTCCACCACTCCATGTCTCTGGATGTGTTTCTTGGACCACTATCAGTATTCCATGACATGTGGATGGGCCCAGCTCTGGGAGAGGACAGGAAAGGAGGTACAGGGTTGTCTGCCCCTTTAAAAGAAACTGGACAGAAGAAGGGGAAGGCTCAGGGTCTCAACTCACATTGTCCCGACATGGACGGACTGTCTCTTGCCTCCCGGCCCCAGCTGATGCCGTTGCTTTTTGTGACATGGTTTCATTTGATCACAGGTCAAAAAACGCCTTATGTTTTCAAAAGACTCCTGGCCCCTCCCTGGTTCCTAGCCCTTCCCCCTCTGCCCTCGTGTGAGCCGGTGAGGGGCAGTTTTAGACTGTTGTTCTCAGATGGAGGAGGCACTGATGCTTATAAGTCTGGGAAGAGGCCTACACCCAAGGGCTAGGCATTTTAGTTTTCCTTTTCTCACCAGATGTCTGTATGTGTGCCTGCGTTCGTGTGTGTACGTGGGTATCCACACCCCTCGGCATTTAGTTACGTGTCCGAATTCATGTGTCCAGACCAGCCCTGTCACGACCTGCTGGGAAGGGCCCCCCGGTGACCAAGTATATAAGCATCCCTTGAGAAGGATCAGGGCAGGGGGAGGGAGAAGGGGCTTTTTACCTCTCCAAACCCTTTTTCCATGATGACCCACTCCAAGATATTATGTGTAAATTCTGTTATTATGTATATGGGTAAAGATGTACAAATATACGTCCTCTTTGTAGCAGATATGATTTTATATTTATAATGTGCATCAACATGTGAAAGCAATCTAGGTCACTGGCACAGATGACGTCGCCAGGCAGGTGGGCCCAGAGCCTCCAGGTCGGTTTCTGGGCGCCCCCCTGTGAGGGAGCGGGTGGGCGTCTGCCAGGGCAAGTGGCGCTGAGCAGATGGAGCTGCTCTGACAACCAGCGGTGGCCGTCCCAAGCGTCAGCGGCTGAGTTTTTCTGTCTCCCCCTCTCCCCACCCCTCCCCGGGTCTTTGTGGAGCGTCAGCCCCACTCCCTCCCCCTGTTGGGCAGACAGAGCCCCCCTGCCCCCCCACCCCTCACCCCTAGCCCACCTCCCAGAGAGCATGTTTTCAGCCCTTCCCTTTCCCCAGGATGCTGGGGGAGAGCTTTAGTTTTTCCGTTTTAAGTCAGCGTTGTATTCAAGACAGAAGCTGTGACTGACTCATCAGTGCCAAGGAAAGGGGTTTCCTGTGTCTCCCTGGGGTTGAGGGCTCTTCTCCGAGAGAAGCATCCAGCGTCCCCCACTGTCACCACCATACCCCACACCGCTCATGAGATGCGTGAGGCGTGTTTGATTTCTAGAGTTCCGTAGTGGAGAGGCGGGGGGGATGGTGGCAAGGAGCCGTCGTCCTCTTGGGAAGCCGGTCAGTGTCCCCAGTGGGTGACGCCCTTGAGTCTCCGCCAGTGAAGCTCCACCACGCTGGCGTGTTACATTTCTCATCTGGAGCTGTTTCTCAGGCATTCTTCCCAACCTTCTCCTGTTCCCCTTCAGTGTGCCTCAATAGTCTCCTTCACAGAGCAAGAGGGCGGTGACCCTCCCTCAACCGGACTAATTAAAGAAAGACACTTGTGTTCCCAAGTGGTGGTTTTATTTTTTTAGTTTTTATGTTTGTATGGAAATTGTGGATAAAGTGAAAGAATTGTAAATAAATAGTGTATTTCCTCCTCCACTGCTGATTTTTCTCCCATGGATTTGTGTAACCTGGAACCTAAGGCGTGCCCTTTGGTCAGGTTTTTCTTGCTGACGCCAGCAAGGATGGGGGACACATTTTCCGTAGGGCAAGCCGGGGATCGACAGAGAGTCAGAAGGCGGTCTCGGAGGATGGCGCGTCGACTCTGTGCTGGATACTGTGGAAAATACAAAACTGAGCCACATGGTACCTAACCACTGACATTTACAGAGCACCTCGCCATACGCCAAGTGCTGTGAGAAACACTTGGATGGTTTCCTCACCCAGAACTTCTCCCTGGATTCATTCGAGAGTGTTGCTTGGTTTCAGCAATTAGGAGCGGTCTTAGGGTCAAATGCAGCAACACGCTACAGGAACCCAGACGTAACGGTGGCTTACACACCAAGGGAGCATACCTTCTGCCTCACATCAAAGTCCAAAAGTAGACCACCCAGGGCCAGGATGATAGGTCTGTTTCACAGAGTGTTTAGGAATCTGGACTCTGCCTCGCGGTCTTCACCGGGGAAGATGGGGCTGCCACGCCAGCCACTGCATCCACTTTCCAAGCAACAGGATGGATAAAGAAGGGACAGAGAAAAAAGAATGAAAAAAAAAAATGTGTCAGCAGTATCTTAAGGAATGTTCCAGAAAGCTGCCCCTTAACACCTTCTTTTACAACTCAGGGAGCAGAACTTAGTCCCACAGTAGGTCACACCTCGTTGTAAGGGAGGTTGGAGGAATAGTCTGTTCCAGGCGGCCATATGCCTGGCTCAAAATCAACAATTTTTGCCCTCAGTAGATACACATATCTTAAAGAACCTGAGAGGAGACACTTACCATTTACGTCCCTCCTTCATTCCTCCGCTTGATCTTAGCCAAAAGGCCGAGAAGCGATTCCTCCTTCATTCCTTAGCCTTCAACAACCCCTCTGAAACTGTGATTTCCCTTCTGCCTGAAAAACTTTCTCGAGTAAGGCTGAATAATATTCCAACACGCGCGTGGACACGCACACACACACCATATTTTGTTTCCATCCGTCAGTGGTCTTACATTTTTTGGCCATCGAGAATAATGCTGCTGTGAACACAGTTGTGTAAATACTTAAAGACCTTGCTTTCAGTTCTTTGGGGTACATACCCATAAGCAGAATTACTGGACCATATGGTAATTCTATTTTTGATATTCTGAGGAATATGTTTTTTCTCAGACTGCTTCTAAGATTTTTTTTTTCCCTTTGGGTTTCAGAAGTTTGATAGTGTATCTGAATTGTGGATTGTTTGGGGGGTTATTTTTGTTTTTGGAGTTTTGGGGGTTTTGTGTGTTTTTTGGTTGTTTGGTTTTGCTTTGTTTAGTTGCATTTATCCTACTTGGGATTTGAGTTCCTTGAATCTATAGTTGTAGGTCTTTCACCAAGTTTGAGAAGCCTTCAGCTATTATTCTTCAAATATATATGTATTTTTCTGCACCAGTCTCAATTCTCCCTTCGGATTCTAATGATGTGAATGTTAGACCCATACTTCCTCAGGTTCTGTTTTATTTTTTCACTTTTTCTCCTTTCTGTTCTTCAGATTAAGAACTTTCTTTTTGTCTATCTTTAAGTCCATTTACTCCTTTTCTGTCATCTCCATTCTACATTAAGCCCACACAGTGAATTTTTTTTTTAAGTTTATTCAATTTTGAGAGAGCATGAGTGGGGGAGGAGCAAAGGGAGGGGAACAGAGGATATCCAAAGCAAGCCCTGCACTGACAACAGTGAGCCTGATGCGAGGCTTGAACCCACAAACTGGGAGATCATGACCTGAGCTGAAGTCAGACAATCAACCAACTGAGCCACCCAGGCATCCCAAGCCCATACAGTGAATTTTTTTAAGTTAGTTTATTTATTTATTTGTTTGTTTATTTATTTATGAGAGAGAGGGAGAGACAGCACATGAGTGGGGGAGGGGCAAAGATAGAGAATCCCATCAGGTTCTGCTCGATCAGCACAGATCCCGATGTGGGGCTTGAACTCACAAACCGTGAGATCATGACCTGAGCCGAAATCAGGAGTCAGACGTTTAATGGACTGAGCCACCCAGCACCCAGGTGCCCCATGAATTTTTACTTCAGATATCGCAGGCTTTGGTCCTAATATTTCCATTTGATTTTTGTGTGTGTGTGTGTGGTTCCTGTTTCTCTCCTGAGTTTTCCCTTCATTTCAAGTGGGTTTACTTTTACCTCATGAAGCATAGCTGTAATACCTGTTTTACATTTTTGTCTGGCATTTTTAACATCTGTCTCATCTTGGGGTTGACATCTTTCAATTGTCTTTCCTCGTAAAAATTGACCACCTTTTCCTACATCTTTGAATGTTGAGTAATTTTGGACATTTTGAATGTTATATGTGAGAGTCTCGGTCTTACTAAAATCCCCTAGAGCAAGGGTCAGCAACCTATGGCCTGTGGACCAAATCCAACCCTCTTCCTCTTTTTATAAATAAAGTTTTATTGAAACACAGCAATACTTATTCATTACATCTTGTTTTTGGCTTCTTTGACACTCCAGTAGCAGAATTGAGTAGTTGTGATAGACTATATGGCCCACAAAGCTTAAAAATATTTTACTTTCTGGTCTTTTATGGAGAAAGTTTGCTGATCTCTGCTCTAGAAAGCACTGACTTCATTTTGCTTTGTTTTAGTAGGCAACCCAGTTAGGTTTGTTTTTTTTTTTTAAACCACTTTATTGACAAATGATTGACATACAAAAAACTATACATATTTAATGTGCACAACTTGGTAAGTTTAAGATGTGGTTGTTTTTTTGTTTTTGTTTTTGTTTTTTAATTTATATCCAAGTTAGTTAGCGTATAGTGCAACAATGATTTCAGGAGTAGATTCTTTAATGCCTCTTACCCATGTAGCCCATCCCCACAACCCCTCCAGCAACCCTCTGTTTGTTCTCCATATTTA